CGGTTCATTAATTAAATATTCGATAAATGATCGGTGATAAAAAGTGGGAAAAAGATTAGGCTTAAAACAATTTCCCGGCAAACTTTCACGCTCCTTCGTTTCAATATATGAGGATCAATTTAAAATCAATTCCTCTGGCGAGATAGCTCCACAGATTTCCGAAAATTCCCAACTCAAGGAAGAGATTAGGGGGGGGAAAAAGGCTAAACGACGTGGATCACGGTAGGGAAAGAAGGGATGCAAGGTCGGGAACGATGAAGCAGATGTGTGTGTGTGTGTGCATGTGTGTGTGAGAGAGAGAGAGAAATATAGCGGGTGTGAGAAACTAATCGAGATTCTAATTGAGTTGCCAGTAATCGCATCTTCGTCGATAATTCCATACCAGATAGAATATGTCCACAATTTGGTATCTCATATCCGTTAATTAAACTGAAAACTTCCGAACGAGGGAGCGATGCGAATATTCTAGTCGCTTTTAAATCGATCGAGTGAAAGATTGGCAGAGATTTGAGACGAGGAATGGAAAAAAAGAAAAAAAAAAAAAAAGAAAAGAGAATGGGGAAAAGTAAACGTTATAGGGAGAGAGAAGTGGAATTATCGTCGAATGAAGAATTAAGATTGGAATAAGTGGATATAAAGAGAAGTATTGGATTGAGAAGGTGGTATCGTCGTAATACGAGGCTTTATTAAAGAATTAAGAGACGTGTAAAAAAAAAAAAAAAAATGGGAACAAAGATTTCTGTTTAACAGAGAGGGATGGTAGTAAAGATTTTAAAGTGTAAAATGTGATAATTAATAGAAAAGGGATGTTTTTTTTTTTTTTTTTTTGAAAAAAGAGGAAAGAAGGGAAGAAAATTTTTCTGTAAAGGAAAATGAGAAACATTTTTAAATTCTTTTTTTTTTTTTAAGCATATAATTTTTATAAAAAGCGCAAAATTCAGGAAAAGGAATTTTTTTTTCTGTCAGTTTTTTGAATTAGTGAAAAGAGAGTTTTTTTTTTTGTGGGAATAATAGAGAGGATGTAATAAAAATTTGAAAGAAATATATATATGTATATACGAGATTAAAAAAAAATTGTCGCTTAAAAAGAATTAAAATTCTGTTTTGCAAAGTGACTGACGAGAAGTGATGAACAAGATATTCATTTCGTCAGTTTTTACGTAATCGGAAGAAATAGAAATATTTGCGTCTCGTGTAGGCGGTAGCAAAATATAACTTTGATTTGATGGAAGAAAACAGCGTTACAAGCAAGGGATAAAATAACTTTTCGATATTTTTTCATTTCTTTTTTCCCTTGTACAAATTGTACCTCTATCTTTAAAGTAAATCGAATTCAAGTATATCCTATTTTCTTTAAAATCTATAAGAAATTTCAATTCTGATCATGAAAATAATGATAATGGATATATAAGATAACAATGATTAACAAACAAGTCAAGGAACGTTACACGTCTTACTCGAAAAGACAGTGGAACTTTCCACTCGAGATTGATTTTATAAGTGACAATGAGATATGGTAACAGTTGTTCAAATATTACGAATAAAGATACAGAACTGTGGAAATGTCATCGAGTTCCCAGAAACGTTGATTAAAACGTTTCACATTCGTGACAATTCAATGGATCTTTGTTCGAAAAAAAAAAAAAAAAAATAATACGAAACATTAGAAATTTTACAACACGTAAATATATACTTTTTAGCAAAGTGATGCAAATAAATAAATTCATTTTTTCTAATTTACTCTTTATTCATCTTTTCATTTAAACCAATTAAGATTTTACTTTTACACACACGAGTTATATATACACGTTTATGACACGTCTTTGAGAAAATTTTTATTCATTCATCTGGCAAAAAACAGACGTGCCAATGTAATTCCCTCTGACGGGGAAATTTTAAAAAACACGAATTTGAAAAATCTTTGAAAAAATTTCTCTCATCGTTAAAATTTTCAACTTTTAATTCGAATAATTTTCTTTTCTTTTAATAAATACTTCTTTGAAGGTTAAAAAAAATAATAATTATACATTAAATAATCAGCTTTTGGGGCGGAATTCTTACGCTGTGTACGATGCAAAAATCTTTGGAAGACAACAACAAATGGGATATTTAATATCAACAAACTATTACATCCACTGTGGAAGAAAAACAATTGGCTTAAAGAGCGGTGGTCTCCCCGCATTGCGGGCTTTTACTTTCAGTCGTACACGTGTCTTCCGATCGATTCCATGTTTTTCAGGAATCGTGAAACGCCAGTTCGACTTCCCAGAATTCTTCTCATCCCTCCTTTCGCCCATCCTCTCCGCCGAGAGAAAGAAGAATCCTCGAGCGCGGATGGGACGTTCTCTTCCGTTTCGATCGATTAGCCACACTTCCCTTACTCTAGATTTAATCTCTCTGTTTTATAGGTGTTAACGATATTAAATCTTGTCGAGACCACGAAAGTTGAAAAAATATTACAAGATTTGTGCGACGAAATTTTAAACTTTCGAAAAAAATTTATTTCGAAAATTTATCCTCCGTTTCGGATCTCGAATTAATTTTAAAATCGAATCTCAAGTTTTGGTTTCAAATTAAATGAAACAACGACAAGGAGGAAATCAAGGATAACTCGAGAAAAAGATGGAGAAGCTGGGAAGAATGGAGCGTTTGGCCGGGAAAATGAACGGAAACCGAGATATTACGTTTCACCGGTAGCCAAACTGTAACGAAATCTTTCTTCCAAGCTTCGAAGCGGCTCCAAGGATGAAACGGGTTATCCGACGAGTCGTGGAAAACTCGGTTACAAAACTCGGCGGAAGTTGTGCGGCGAGAGCCTTTTCAGGAAGAGAGAGGCGTGCGAGATCGCTTCTTTCATCTTTCGGACGTGGGATGCGAAGGGTGCAAAAACGGGATTCTTAAAAATCGACCCTCTATTCCCGGAATATGGAATGTCGAAGAGTAGGTGTGTTCCGGATTTTTCACGGGAAAGTATTTTGTTTCTGAAATTCTTGGGCTGAATTTTAATATAACGGTGGACAGGCGATCGTTCCTATCCGTCCCAGGATTTTCGATTATATTTCCTGCCCTCGCTTTATTGAAATATTTCGAGACCCCCGCGTTAAAGCGAAATTTAATTTCGTTAAAAGTTGGAATAAAAGTTCGTTGATCGTAGTACAGTTACGATATCCACAATCGATGAAAATAATTGAATCGAAGCTTTGACAACGAAAGAGGTATCGAAGAATTTTCTTAAGAAAAAAAATTGTTTAATTTTCTTCGAGCCACAAGAAAAGATGGCAAAAGTATTCTGGGTACGGCTATTATTAGAACGAAATTCTTAATTCGATCGAAATCTGTGAAGCAGGTGTCTCGATGCGGATGGAAACTCGGGCAAAGTTTCCTCCTTCGAGGAATCACAAGTTCATCGTGGGCGTTCACGAGGAGAACGTTTGGCGATCGTTTCGAAAATAAAGTTTCCCCCTTTTCTAATCTTTACCCTTCGTACTTCCTCTCGTTCATATCTTTCGTTATCCTCGTCACGCGGAACATCATCGGCGAAAGGAAGGGTAGTTTTTCATTTAAATAAACGGTAAAGGAATAAAAGTCGGGATGGAAAGCGTGGAAGGAAGTTTTGGGGAACTTTGAACTTTTATCGCGTTCCGAAAGTTTTCGAAACACGATACTCGTGCGATTCTCTTCCGGGTCTCCAGCGTTCGAAAGTACGATGTAAAATCATGGGTGGAAAGATATAAAGGAAGATTCTTTTTTCAGAAATGTACAGATAATTTATACTTGTGCATTTATTATTTAGATTTTACTTTGTTCAATTTTCTCAAGTTCTTCAGATATCAATAATAATCGAAATAACAAACATTCAAAATGGACAACAAAAATACGATGCAAAATCATGGGTGGAAAGATATAAAGGATGATTCTTTTTTCAGAAATGTACAAAGATTCGTATAATATTTATGCATTTATTATTTAGATTTACTTTGTTCAGTTTATTCAGTTTTTGAAGTTTTTCAGACATCAATAATAATCAAAATAACAAACATTCAAAATGGAATATAACGAAATGATGTAAAATTATGGAAAGATATAAAGTTAGATTCTTTTTTTAGAAATGTACAAATAATTTGTACTTGTTCATTTATTATTTAGATTTTACTTTGTTCAATTCATTTTTCTCAAGTTCTTCAGATATCAATAATAATCGAAAAAACATTCAAAATGGAATACAACGAAATGATATAAAATCATGGGTAGAAAGATATAAAGGAAGATTTTTTTCAGAAATGTACAAATAATTTATACTTGTGCATTTATTATTTAGATTATTTATTATTTTCTCAAGTTCTTCAGACATCAATAATAATCGAAATAACAAACATTCAAAATGGAATACAACGAAATGATAATAGATTTGCTTTGTTCAGTTTATTCAGTTTCGAGTTCTTCAGACATCGATAATAATCGAAATAACAAACATTCAAAATGGAATACAACGAAAATAGGATGTAAAATCATGGGTGGAAAGATATAAAGGATGATTCTTTTTTCAGAAATGTACAAAGATTCGTATAATATTTATGCATTTATTATTTAGATTTACTTTGTTCAGTTTATTCAGTTTCTCAAGTTCTTCAGAAATAACAAACGTTCAAAATGGCTTTCGAAAAAGTTCAACGATCAATTTTCTTCGTGTCATCTCTGACACGTGATCAAAGTTTCAACAAGTCGAATCAATCGAAGAAATTCTAATTCCAGATACCTTACACCTTCCAATATTCCCCTTACCTTCGTCCAACAACAAGTTTCGCCCGAAATCCTTCCAATTTCCCGGCCTCGAGCTGCGCTCTGCGCTCGCGATCTTCCTCCTGTAGCTCGCATGCGGGTGCATGTGGACGGGTACGCTTGCGCAGTCGCGCAGAGTCGGCAGACAGCTCGCCGCTACGGGTGCATCTCGCGGCAGTCGGCAGTCGTCTTCTAAACCAAGCTCATTAGTCGCCCAGCATTCGGCCGCGGGACACCTTTAACAGTGTGGATCGTAACTCCAGTTCCAACTTCCTCTTCGCGCCCTCTCCACACACGCTCGCCTTTGCACCCCCTCCAAATCTCTCTCTCTCTCTCTCCCTCTCCCTCTCATCCTTCCTTCGAATCGAAATCGTTCCTCACCTCAAAGAGAGCTCGGTCTCCCGCGCTCGATACGAGGGGATGCGGCCAGCCTCGATGGACTCTCGTGCACGTGCCAGTTGACTCTCTCTCTCTCTCTCTCTCGAGGAGAGCGTCGAACCCGTCGACCACGCGCTCTCTCCCTTCCTCTCTCTCCAAACGGATATGATATGACTTCCATCCGTTGAATCCACTAGCTATCGTTCCTTCGAATTAATTCGTTAACCTCCGGGAGGCTAGGCTCCGTGCCTCGAAAGGGGGGAGGGGAAAGGGGGTGCGTCGGCCGCCGATGGTCGAAACGACGTGGAGTTCGTTTGTACAACGGTAGACGAACGAGACATATCCTCCCCGATGCTTCAACCACCGTCTCCCCTGTTGGAGATGGCATCGCTTCGTTTGCCGGACTCGGAGGAGTTCGACGTGGACCCCCGCCGAAGGAGCAACAACGGAAATGGGCCGGGCACGACGGTGTCGGCCGTCCCGCCGGCCACCGTCTCCACCCTCCTCCAGATGAGGGACGAGGTGGGCGATTATCTGAACAGCCTGATCGCCGAGGCGATCGCGACTAGCCCCGGCAGGGCGCCGATCGAGGAGGGGCACGGGGGGGGCCTGTTGAACGCGAGCAAAACGGCGAACCTGACCGCGGCTGACGCGCCGGTCATACCTGTGGACAGATTGTACAGGCACAGCATGGCGATGTCGGCTGTTTATTGTGTCGCTTACGTTCTCGTATTCGTGGTCGGTCTGATCGGGAACAGTTTCGTGATCGCCGTGGTGTACAGGTCCCCCCGGATGAGGACCGTCACGAACTTCTTCATCGTGAACCTCGCTGTGGCCGACGTCCTGGTCATCGTGTTCTGCCTACCGGCCACACTGTTGAGCAACATATTCGTACGTGAGTACTATATATCCCCGTCTATTTTAATCTCACGATTTTTGATCGTGAAATTTTTATCGACGAACGAAGGTTTTGGTTGGTGAGAAAGTGTTAGAGTTTTATTTATTTTACACCCGAAAACGGTGCAAGTTGCAGAGGTGTTGGAGAGGTTGAGAGAAGGAATATTAATTTTGCGAGAGAGAGAGAGAGAGAGAGGGCCGATTAAAGGGATGCGTGCGAGCGATTCCAGCTGCGAGGGGTGGAAGGGGGTGGAATCGATCCCCTCGCGATTCTACGCCGCGTTCACGATTCGATGCACGATTGGGCGCATCGCGGTTCCGCCACAAGGGCCGACAACTTCATCTCCGAGTAAAAGGGGGAGGGATAAATTATTCTATAATGGAAATCGTTCGAAATTTGCTCTTCTCTCCCCGTGGGGGGAGGAAGTTGGGATTCCTCTTTTCAATTTCCACGCGCGCTGCCTCCGCGATTTATTCGGAGGGGAGGGGGTTAATTTTTCGAGGAGGATCGATCGCGGAGGGTGATTAGTTTGGAATTATGGATTTCCAATCCGGCCTTCGGAACGGGTTGTAAAATTTAATTTCGAACAGTTTTCGAATTTTTCATCCGAGATATATTCCACTTGCCCGTCGTGGATAATGGAAATTTTGAATAATGTTATATCGAGGTTATTCGTTGATGATCGATAATTTGAAAAAAGGAAAAACGAAGATACAATAATTCTCGATTAAATGTAATTGGACAATTGATAGAGCGTCGAACGCGATTCGATGAATTTTGGAATTCGATTTTCTCCAATTTACGACGAGTTTTTTTTCAATTTGCACGGAATCTTGCACGAGTTGTGGAAAGGAAAAGGGATAACAAGCGAGGAAACGTTTCGAGAGAATATAAATATCAAATATTTTCACTCTATTTATCTCTGACAAGAATAATTTTAAGAATTAATTCTTATTTTAACTCTGGATATTAAAATCGATAAAATTTAATATTCGCGACGAATGATAAAGACACTGGAACCTTAGATCTTCTCAAATCCCTGCTGAATATCCGCATTCCCCTTCGACGAAGGGAAAAGACTTTGGGAAAAAATCTACAAAACGATCCTTTCGCAATCGTCCTTCGAATTTAGCCCAATTAAACGGACAGGTCCTGCGTAACTATCCACGCCTAATCGACCTCCCTCACGAAATTATATTTGTTCGTTATCCTTCGAGTTGGAATTAACTGACCTGTTTAATTAATCCTTGTTAAACGTCGAGCAGGAAACCTTCGAACGATTGACAAACGATGAATAAATTTGCCTGGAAACTTTTTCGAAAAAGTTATTTTCGAATCTCTTCCAGTGTTCCCATATTTTTGGGACACCCTATAGAATATATTAAACCAGTAAATAAATAAATATATCGTCATGATATCCTTATGATTACGGGGACAATCTATAAAAATAGCCAAATTATAATAATCATTGAAAATTTATTATTGTATAATTGTTTATAAAACTTGAGAATATTTTATTCTTTTTTTTTTTAATCGTGCTCGTTTAATAAACATTGGACTCAAATTCTCCCATGGCAATGAATATTAGAGGATAGAAGTTACGAGACTATTGTTTCAACTTCGTAAAATTTATGCGGAGGAGAGAGAAGAAGAAAGGAGAAGTCGTCGATTCTTAAATTCTTTTTTTTCTTTCCCCCGCGCGAGAATCTCCATTTAAATCACAATGGTCAAAAGGCGGTGTTATTGAAAAACGTCGCGTGTCCAGTCGGGCGGCAACTTTTCCATTTCCGCCGTTTCTTTTTCCCCCAAAAGCACGAATTCCCCTGAATTCGAAGAGAAACGAGATCGATCCGAATCCGTCCCGTCTCGCCTCGAATCGCAAAGGTCGCGATAATTGCGGACAGAGACACGGTGCTCGACCGTGAGACTCCTCCCTCCTTCGGCTAGCAATTGTCAGCGTGTCGAATGACTAACGACGTCATTAGCACGCACTTGCGCCGCGAACACGCTTTAGACCGCTTGTTTTCCACGGGCAGGAATTCAAGTGTTCGGCGGGAGAGAGGGAGAGGGGGCACGTGCAGACTCGTTCACCGTGTAAACTATTTCCAGTCCTTGGATTTTTCTTGAAAATTCTTGAAAATTCACGCGATTTTCCTTCCACGAAGGAGAGAAGTGTGTCTCGTTCGTGCTTTTTCTCTCTTTTTTTTTTTATTTCGCCTCTCTTTTTGCGCGCGTATGCATTTGCAAACGGATGAAAAATTGAAGGGGCGGATACTGGAAAAGGAAAGGTGTGAAAATTTCCTTCGAATTATCCTTCCAGTTAATTTTTCGTTAGTTTCGTTTCTGTTTCATTGTGCAAATTAAATTGTAACGGGATGGAAAAGAAAATTTAGTTGGATTTAGTTTACAGAATTTTATTGGGAGTAAATGTATATTGCATTAATTTTTGATATTCCATTTACCCGAATGAAAGAGAAACGGATGATAAACTTTGTAAGATTACTGCTGATGATACGTCGTTTTAAATGTAGAGAAAGGAAGTCACGAAGGGAGGAAAAGGGATCTTAATAATAAGATATATTTTAGATTAAGATAATCTATAATTTTACAAAATACATTAACGTTCATAGTACGAAATATTTATTACATTTTTATTAAACAATTTTATTTTTACCTGGAAATCGAGATTTCGAAACACTATGGAGTTTGGGATTTTTTTTAATGCGACTATAAATTTGAAAGAGGAAAATTAAAGATACGAAAAAGTTATTACATTTTTATTTTTAAAATGAAAATAAAATGAAAATAAAAATTGAAATTTCGAAAAATTTTTGTTTTGGCTATAAATTTGAAACAAGAAAATTAAAGATACGAAAAAATTGATCAAATTGATATATTGGATTAACAAAATTTGTGAATAGCACGGTACAATGTCAAACTGATAAGATTAATTAATCGGTTTATTTAATAAATCAAGCGATTAGCTCGAATTTTGTCACATTCATTTAATGCAAATATATTCGAACAGTTCACGCCGAACCGATTTTAAACGTAATTATCTGCTTGGATAATACTATAACAAAGTTCCCTTTTCGCAGTGTATAATGTAAAATAAGTTAAGTCATCGATTTTACTCCAAGTATCTTCGAGTTCAAGATAATCCATCGTTTCCAACTTGATTCAATCCCAAGAAATTTCAATTCAGCTTTTTATCACGGGGGAAAGTAGCCTTAAACGTTATCCAATCTTTCTTTCCCCATCTGTTTCCTTTTTCAGCGATCAAAAGCGACATTTGCATTGTTAATTTCTGAAAATGAAGCGAAACCGGCCCCCCCTCTCTGTTTTCACTCTCGAAAGTTTATCACGAAAGAGAGTGCTAATGAAGTATTATTTCTGCGAATTTAAGTTCCAACGCTGAGGACTGAGGATTGTAAATGATGCCTTTGAGCTCCTTCCAATTTATATCTTTCCATGTTGTCACGATATTTTATTACGTTTATAATTTTTATATTTTTATATATAAATCGAATAGAGATTCTTAACGATTCAAGTTAATTTTTTAACACGTATAATTGTTCATTGTTTTTCGACACGATTTATGAATTTATAAACATTATCGATTATCTTTTTCATGATAACGATAAATGGATAAATTCGATCGTGAGATGGAAAAATATTCAAATAGACGTGAATCGAAGTAACCTAGCATTCCATCTTTCATGCCTATTGATCAATTCGTACGAAATGTCTGTTCGATTTTATTTATACGATTAAAAGTGGGACATGGCCGCTGGTCCCTTGTGTCTAAAACTGCGTCTTAGGAATTTAATTTTTTCCATCCAAAAATTGAAACACTCCATTATCACGAAGGAAGGAAGGAAGGAAAGGAGTTACGTTGAAAGATTATGTTATAATCACACGTGTGTTACAAATATTTTGCTGATTATTGAGAATAAAATTGTAACGTGGAGAAAGGGAAAAGCAATTCTTTTCTTCCGAAAAATATCATCCACACGGAATGATAAAATTCTGTTATGCCCCTCTGTTTGCGGAAAAACCGAGAGTCTATAACGAAATTGAACCCGTATTCGAGCTGGTGTTTTTGTCGTGGATGATGGGAAAGAGTTTTCCATTCTTTCCCTCCCTGGTGAGATGATTGCTCGCCTCCTCGCCAGGAAGAAGTTTCGCTATCGCCGGATGACTTTTGTCCTGAAAATTGTCCTCCCTTTTCTTCCCCTCGCTCCTCGATTATCCATTGTTCGAGATCTCTGGTTATTCTTACGTTTACTTAAACACCGAATACGTCTCTGTCGAACTCCATATTAATCCTTTTTCACGTTATTAATAGATATCTCTCTCTCTCTCTCTCTCTCTCTCTTTCTCGAGTTCCCTTCATTTTTCTTTATTTTTTTTTGTAACGAAGAGAAGCAATATCCTTCTCTCATTCTAAACACAAACTTTAATAAATAAGTTTCAACATTTTTATATATCAACTCCATTTTTATATTCCACTCCAAAGAGAAGAAATCTTTCAAAATTCTCTCAAAATGAGAAACACATTGCAATCCTTGTTAACATTGATTACTTAATACCAAAAAAGAAAAGAAAAAAGATTTCTAACATATTGCAAATAATTTTCATTATCCGTTTTATTATCCACATACGAATCATTCGAGGTAAATATTTTCCCCTCGTCAATAATCATTGGCCCGATCGCGGAAGGGGAGGAATAATCGGTTTCCACCCGTCCACGTGTTTCATTATTCCCGCGTTATTATGCACTGATCGATAGTCAAAGGGAAGAGTTGACCGACATCGGTGTAACATAATCGCGCGCGATTACACACGGCCTCTCTCCCCCCCCCCCTTCTTCTCCTCCCCCTCGCCCCGCCCTCACCCGCCACGAATCGCGGTTATAACGTAATTATTGGCGGCCGCCGGTTCTCGATTCGTCCGGGTTTTCCCGTGTTTTGGAATCGCGCCACGGACACGTTTCG